AAAAAAAAAAAAAAAAAAAAAAATACAAAAATATATAGCTTTAAGAGGGTTAGGCCTACCCTAAAATTAAGGAACGCTCGACCTCGACACGTGATATCGAAATGGGCGAAATCGCCTCTTGATACCACTAACTCTCCTGACTCCTGACTCCTGAGTTGACAGCCCGTACGACCGATCTTCTTTGCACCCTCTCCACTGCCGAGTCGGAAGCGATCCCGACTCACGGACGATGATATAGCCGCTTCTTTCTCGGGCGGTTCGAAGCCATCGGGATAAAAGTGGTACAAGTGGTATCATATAAATGAATGGTTTTCGAAAACTCCCTCCGACTGGAAATTGCTGCGTCGTGGATTTAAAATGGATTTTAAACTTAGACGAAATGAATGATCCACTGAACATGCATCACTTGGCGCGAGTTGGGTTTTCGTTTCTCTTGCAACAGTCCGTTTTGATCGATCGACACTTTCTCCGTGGACTTCGTTTCGATCTTTTTGTGTCGTCGGTAACGCTGGAAAACTCTCCCAGCCGCTTCGTTTTCGATCGACAACAGATGTCATTTGGCACGAGGAAAGGCGACGGTTTATGCCTTCTTCCTTCAAAATACGGAAGGTCCAGGTCGAGCCAAATCGGACAGAATCGGAAGGGAAGGGTTCACGTGGGCCCTGGGGAGAGGAATCAAAGGGGATCCACTGCCCAATTTACCGTTATCGAGTTATTTAATTACCGGGATGATAAAAAAAAATTGACATTCACCAGGTGAAGTGGCCTCTTCCTCGCTTCTTCCCGAGCCAAGACCATCGACGATTTGGGAGTCATTTCATTTCTTCGCAAGCTCATTTTCTATGGATAAAAGAGAGAGACGGAATCGTTCTTGCGTCATTGTGCCTCTCGAGTGACTCGAAATTTTGAGTTTCGATAGGGAACTCTCCATGGTTGCCATCGTCACTGCTAGCCGAAGTCAATGTAGAAGGGTGAGTGGCATCGAAAGCGACCACCACTTCGTTTGAATCTACGATCCAGTTGCGAGACGTCTCCGTGCGGTGTCGTGTAGGATTCCTTTGCTTCGTTTTGACCTTCCTTTTCGGTTGCCGGCACTCGCTTCGTTCTCCCGGTCTCTCCACGTGGAGCATGGGAAGGGGGGATTGTAAGGAGGAACGAAGGAATGAATGAATGAACGAATGAAACCTCGTCTCCTCCGACGGGTAAAGTCGGGGATGACGGAGCTCAGGTTCCTCATAAAAGGTCCGAGCCTTTATCTTCCCTTCCATTGGAGGAGAGAAAGAACGGCAGCCATTCGGTGCGAAGAGTGTGGGGGGAGGAAAGGGGGAGGGAAAGGGGGAAGGGGGGGTGAGGAAAGGGGAGTGGGAGGCAACCGAGACGATGTTATCGCATCGAAAAGAGCCAACGGTTTTTTGCGTCTTTTTCGTTGACCTTGCCTGCGTCTGCCCCCTTCCACCCTTTTCCTTCGGTTCGAGCGAGAAATGGAGGCTATAAAAGGCGTGGAATCCAGTCGAGAGGCGTCAGTGAGAGTCTGGACGTCCGAGAATTCGTTACCATTTCATTATGGAAGGTTCGTCTTCAGTTTTTCCCTCTTTCTCCGTATTCGCCTTCTCTCGGACAGAGTCGAGATTTTGCTCTCGGAGTTTCCGAAAGTTCTCTCTCGCACGAGGCAAAGTATTCGTTCCATTCGGAACGAGTTCGTCGCTTCGTTTAGATTTTTTTGTTTCGCTAGAATTGCACGACGAGCCGTTCCGTTTTTCGTTTCGTCAACAGGCGGTATGTTCTTATCGCTGGTCGGGGCTCTGGCGGTCGCGACTTGGCCGGTGGGCGTGGTGGAGGGATTGTGGTGGAACCCCTTCGGTTCCCTCTCCTTGTTCCAATCGACTCGATACCGACCGTCGTCCGATCCGAACGTCGGTGTCACCAGTCCGAGACCGATCTTCCTTCCGCCTCTGCTCCATTCCGGTTCCCGTCGACCTCAGCTGCAGGCGCAACCCCAACGGCAGGGACTTCAGCAGCCGCAACTGCACGTGCTGCCGCAGTCGCAGGCTCGACCGCTGCTAGAACCGCAACGGCAGGTTCTCGCTCGACCGCAGCTGCCGATTCTACCTTGGTTGCAGTCTCGACCGCAACTGCCGGTTCAACCGCAGCCTCGACCAAAACCGGAACTGCCGGTTCAACCGCAGCCTCGACCAAAACCGGAACTGCCGGAGCAACTGCAACCTCTGCCTCAGATCTCTCATCCCGTGCAGAGTGTGGCTCTTCCTCCTCTGTACGCTCCGGATTACAGCAACCCGCCTCTCGTATCGGCTCCGCAGAACGGCCTGGTCTACGTGGAAAACTCGATCCCGCCTGGGATCGAGACGGGAGACGGATCTCACTCTGTCGTCGGGAATGCCACGGACGCGGGGGACGATGAGAACGTGGTTTACCTCGACTTCCCCGATCCCCGACTGTGCTCTCAGCGTGAGTCCTTCCGCTTCGCACTCTTTGCACTTTTCTGAGCGGAGCGGCCGGCGTGCGAAGGGAGATTCCGTCGCGTTTCCGGCGTTCATGCGAGAATCGTCGGAAGGCGATCGTCTCCCGTCTGCGATGGGAACCACCCAGAAAATTTCTAGGACGCGTTGGATGTGACTGTGGCAGAACACAGACGTTGTAAATTCCTTTGAATTCTCTAGTGAAATATTTCCATCGGTGATTCGCCTATACTCCCACTTGAATACCCTCACTCGAGTCTCACGTGAATTGTAAACGTGTAAAACGCAGTTTTAGGAAGGCAAAGTTTGCGAATCTCTGGGCTTTAGTGTGTCGCTCGTATCGGCTGCTCCCGTTCCGAGTTCTCGTAGGGAGGCCGGCGTATCGATTACGGAGAGAATGAGTTTTAGAACTTCAGCAGATCCTGAAGTAGATTGAAGTTTTGATCGCACGGCGAGGTTTTAGTGTGAATCGAACTTTCCGCCTTTAGGACCGGGTCACGAGAAGTTTGACGGACATTACTATTACTTGAGTTGGCGCGATCCCACCTTCGATCACTTCCTCTCCTGGCTCGAAGGAAGAAACTTCTGTCGGCGGATGTGCATGGACCTCGTGAGCCTGGAAACGCCAGAGGAAAACCTTTTCGTCACCGGACTCTTCGAATCCGGTGAGTTCTCGTCCGCGTTTTCGCGCGGTCGACCCCCATTTTTTATTCCTAACTCGGGTCTGCCATCAGCTGCGTCGCAGGGAGTCACGAACTCCACCTGGACGTCGGGGTTGGTGTGTAACTTTCCCGGATGCGAGGCCGAAGAACTTCAGCCGGCGAGGGAGAACGGATGGTTCTGGTCGGGCAGTGGTGTCCGAATTTCGGCCAAGGGATCCCCTACGGGATTCACAGACTGGAGCACCGTCGGTGGAGCCGGTAACCACTCCTACCCACCCCGTGTCCCTCCCCCCCCCCCCCCTCAATCCCCCTTACTCGTCACTATGGTACCATAATAANCCCCCCCCCCCCCCCCCCCCCTCAATCCCCCTCCCAGCTTTCATTCCTTTCCGGTTTCCTTGTATCGACCAGGTTCCGGGCAGCCGGACGATCTCGAGGGAGAAGAGAACTGCATCGCCCTCTTCGGTCCTACCGTCTACGGAGATCCGGATGGCCATCCCCACTGGCACGACGTCTCCTGCCACACCGACCGAGACGTCGTCTGCGAAGACGATCCCAAACTCATCGAATACGTCAAGACGAACTACGACATCTCGTTCCAGAGAAAGTGAATCCGGATCCGACGCGGGAAACTTCGACCCGTGACTTCCGTCGCGATTTTATCGCGTTCCTATTTATGTTGACTATCGACGCACCCGGCTGACATATTTTTCGCGTAGCTCGTTTCTAAATAAAGATATTCGCTTAAATATCGGTCGTTCGCGGTCGATTTCGCGGGAATGGGATCTCCTGCCTGGGTCTTTCCCCGGAAACGACGTTGGGGTTCGCTCCGAGAATCGTGCTCGAGCGAGATGCTGCCAAGAATGTCTTTCGAACGAGTTTCGTTCGGAAAGACGAATCGGAAGGAGAAAGGAATGGAAAGATGGAGAGTTTCGGGAACTGGCACGCTTCGACCGGATGCCAGACGCGGTTGCGAAGGGATCGACCCAGTTCGTACCCCTGCGAACGCGGAGCATCCCGTGAGTTCCCTTCGAAGTCATTTCAGGAAAATGTCGGCTGAAATCGCAAAGGCCACGCTGGGTTTATGAAAAGAAATGGAGTCGGAGATCGGCAAAGCGAGAGCAACGCCGTGCGTTACTTGTTTGCACGACTTAAATATAAACATTTCGACGATCGAAAACTTGCCAAAAGAATCTCTCCACCGAGGTCGTGGGTACCGTTACTTAACGTCCCGTAAGATCGTCGTGCCCTGGGTTTCGTCCCGATCGGTGTACGAGTACGACGCTTTCCGAATGGATTCGTCGCCCCGTGTCGCCATCGGCTTCGTCGATCGCGAAAGGTTGAGTACGGCGAGCGGGAGCAGCGGATGAGTCGTCGGGCAGAACGTCAGTCGCTCGAAGAGGCCAGGTTTTCGGAATCGAATCGTAACGGTGTGGGGTCGAGTGTGGACCGCAGAGGTCATCCAACCTCCATCGCTCGCGGAGCGGAGGCGACGGAGACGATGGGGTTCTCGTGGAAGACTCCAGCGTCTCTCTCGGATCGCGGAAACGGATTTCACACGGCCACGATCTTCGCGTTCCGAGCCGTACGCGTGCCGCCGTTTCTATTTCGTTTGCGAACGACGAGATCGGAAACTCCGTGCCGATGGGATCCGGACGAAACGAGATTCGTCTCTCGGATCGCCTGCCCGAGCTTCCGAAGGGATCCGGGACGGGGACGGGAGCGTTCCGGATCTTCCCTGCTCCGCCTCCGTCCGCGTGGACGTCTTCGTCTCTTTCGCTCCCCGGTCTGCCCCCCGACGAGTCCCTTCCGGGTCTTCCCGTGTCGTCACGGAGCGGAGTCGGGAAGAAGCGAGAGATCCTTCCGGCGTGAGTCGGGATCCTCGTCGGAGGACGAAAGAAATTCGCTCTCGAGTCGTTCGCGGAAGACGCTTCTCTCCGACTCCCGGCGCGAGCGAGATCCCTCGGATCCCTTGGATCCCGCCGACGCCACGGATGAATCCGCGTTCCGGATCCAGATCGCGTGGACCCTTTGTGCGTGCCGATGTGCGCGTCCCGAGCGACCGAAATCTCCGTTCGGGCCCGAAATCTTCATAGACCGAGGAGACATCCAATTAGTCCGAAGGGAATTCCAGCCTCTCTCTCTCCCCTCCCCCCTCTCCCTCCCCCTTCCCC